CTTGAAGAAAACGCCAAATCCATCTGTACGCCCATTTGAGAAAATTGAGCTCATAGCTGACCATAGAAAATTCATGGTGTCATAAATTATGTTTGAACTACCGGGCTCAAATAATTCATATTGTCAATTACCCAGTCCATGTCGGAGAAGACAAATGATCCGTAGATTTTACGTGTTTCCTTTTTTTGCCAGTGGCATCTAGTCTCCATCCAACAGCCGCGCTTCCTTTCCTGTCGCTTTTCTTTTCATGAAAGGGCGCCCACTGCGTTGGAATCCGCTTATGAAGCCACCCTTTGTGTGAAGTTGATCGATATCCATTGATCCTTTGTGTGCGAGTTTTCATACTATTCGTTTCAAGTTCTGGTATGTGAGTGAACTTTCAGTTTGAAGTGTCTTTTGTTTTGGATGGCGAGAAATGTTACCAAAAGCTCCAGCTAGCAGTTTTGATTCATCATTGCCTTTTACCACACAACCTTGCAAAATTACCGCTTGAGATCATATGACTGTTTTTTCGTTTACAAAGGCCGAAGTGGCATGTGGCACGCTTACCACGCGGTCCGAGATCGAATCCTGGGTCGTGAGTCGCCCGGGCCAACCAAGCCTTCCATCCCTCCGGGGTCGGTTAATTGGTACCAGACTTGTCTGGGAGGATAAAACACTGACTTGTACATCGGCTGGCCCCCGCAAGTCATTGTATAGGCCACATCGCATTCAAACGCCACTACGAATGTACAAATGGAAGTAGAATGCGTGCCGCATCCCAAAAAGGGATTGATCAACGGCAAATGCTTTATCCTTTATCCCCTTTCTCCTTGGGGGAAGTAAAACGCTATCCGGGGTCGTGGTTTGTGGTAAGCGGTGTAGTGCATATGAAACTTGCTCACCACATGCGCGATTCGAGCGATCAAATTTGCGCGCGCCACCAGCTTAGGCCAACCAGCTATGCGCTCCGTTGGCGAGGTCGTTGGTTGGTATTATGTTTGTCTGGGAGGATAAAAACACAAACTTACATATTCGCAGATCCTGGAAGTCTCTAAATAGGTTGAAATGCATTCAAAATGCAGCTATGGTTCTGAGTTGTAGCAGGATGCATCCTAGGAGGGGTTCAGGCATTATCATCCATTACTGTTGCGTTGCCCCGTGGTTTTTTGTACACATATGTAAATAGAAAGGGGGACGTTCAGTTCTCCTCCTGAAGTCAGGTCACCAGAGTTGCGCGATCATTGAAACCCCAGGTTAAGCTCGGGTTTAGGCTTAGGCTCAGACTAACGCCTAAACATTTTCTTATGCTTAAGCCTATGACTACACCTAGACACATAGAAACGATCTCTCTGTGTCTCTAACTTTTTCTCTTCTTTGATTTTATGGTTCAGTTGAGGTTAAGATTATTTTTATGCCAGCACTAAAGCGAACCTCATATTTCGGTCATTCACTTTCATTATTTCTCATATTTATCCATATAAGACCAGCAACGCAGCTACCCGAGCAGCGAATTTGTCCCTTAAAGCCTTGGCAACATCGCGATTGGGAGAATTGCGGTGTTGCGTGTTGATCAACCGCGTAATAGCCCTTGTGAACTCCAAATAAAGCTCATGGAAGACAGGTCCGGTTCGAAGTGGCTTCAGACCAACCAGATCTGATCATGATATGGAAGACTGCGGATACTTTATGATTGTAATGCTATAAAAGCCAGATGAGCTTAGTACAGACGTTTTTGCGCTGTAATGGGTACTAAACTTCTGGAATTGCTGTGAGTCGTAGACCAAGCCACCTTTCGTGGGTCCGTGGCTTCGCTCTAACTCGCGAGATTATCTGTTCTTTGCTAAGCATATTGTGATGACCTCAAAAAACCTTGTGATTTTTGTGATTCCTTGAGTCGAGAAATGCTAATTTATTTAGTGGGGTCAGAATGTTATCAGTGACATTCGTAAACATTGATAAGTGTTTTTTTTCCTATGGAATAGGTTGGTTGAGTTAAACCATCAGTGTGAGCAATTCCCCCCCCCCTCACCTTTATTATTCTAAATCAATTCATCTTCTGTTTACACAGCTTTTCGCGTTATTGGACAAATTCTCATCTCTACAATTGTTTCTCACTGTTTCTCAGCGCAGTCATTCTGCATGCTCTACGGTTGGAATGTTAATGGCTAGTGAATTTTAGGCTTAGGCCATTTTAGTGCATTCCGTTCTTTTCTTTTGAGCTTTGTTGGTCGTTTTTCTTGAAATCTCTTCTAAGTGAAATTTTGCGGCACTGGCTTCCTTTAATTTTTCCAAAGAAAATTTGAACTAGAAATCCTCAACTTGACTCTTCGTAAACCTCGGTTTCGGGTTTTGAGCCAAGTTAAGCCCGAGGAAGACGATCTGGTCAAATTAGGCCATCAATAAAGTTCCCACCTGAAAGCTGGCAGAGGAAAAACATTAGTTTTTGAGCGAGCTCTTGAAAATGTTCTTTTTGGTTTTTTGACGTAAGATTGAGCAGAATTGTTTAAGGGCAGGGTCAACCGTCCGTTGGACAAAGTCCAACGAGGGGGTCGTATTCGGCCGACGAAAAGGGGGGTCGTATTCGCAAGGTCGGAGGCAGCGTCAATCCTACACCCTACACTAACGGGGGTCGTAGTGTGATTTTACGATTTGTGAGTACTAAGAAAAAATTGCTGTTTCACTGTTGATATTTAGGGGCTGACTCTGGGGCAGGGGGAGGTCGTATAGAGGCCTTCCAGGAGGAGGGGGTTGTAAGATTTTTGAAATTTTGTTCCATCGAGTTACCCTGCTGTGAGGAAGATGAGTCTTCATTCTATCTGACAGTTCCTGTTCTTAGTACGGTCTGTTGTTTTACTCTCTTTGGTAGCGGCTTTTTCTATGTGGCTTCCGCTTTCTTTGCTATCTTCAGCTGATAGGTTGGGCGTGGCTATAGCTCTGAACTCTCACTAAAGCTCTTCATTGCCGAAATAAATCGTTTTCTCCTTGAATGATGGTCGACGTTCCCCTGAATTATCCGCCTCTGTTCGATACCGCATTAAGCCGGCCCGATATCTTAGCAACGGAAACGCATTATCGAGCTATTATTCATTTTTGCTCGCCACCTGGCCATCGAAGCGGCTTGTGCCTGCCTGTCTGAGTCGCGTCAGTCCGGTCCTTCCTGATGGGATTGTACAGGAAAAGTAAGTTTTCCGAATATGCTGATAGTTTAATTAGAATGCATTATGTAGCGTCGTCAACTGATGAAGATCATAATTTTATTGAAAAACAAAAATAATTAAAAATCAAAAATAATAATAAAAAATATTATGGTTAATACATTTGTTCAAGATCCGTGAGGGTTTGTTGTTAGTTTGAAAATTGAAAGTGGATGGGCGGTCCGTCACGGCTGACCGCCGTTGCCAGTAAAGAGTGACCATGTGGCTAGGCCCGTATGATGACCTTGATTTTTCGTTTTCGTCTTTGTTACGACTTTGGCACCGTTTCAGAATGGGAGCAGCCGTCTGGCAGCGCATGGCTATTCCCGCCGGATTCCAAGATTCCTTAAGGTAATCATTTTCTGTGGTAATGAGGGCGGAGCTTTTTTCGTCTAAGATTCCTTTAATTTTACGATTTTGATGATTTCTCTTGCTCTACTATCCACTTTCAATTTTTCTCAGCTCAAGTAATCACTACGAAACGCCCTTGTACACCAGTTTCATCTTGTGGCTTGCCTTTAACACTTTTAGCCCTGAATTTTTTTCTGCATGAAAAATATTTTCTTGCTACGTTTATTACTTGTGAGACCTAGGTAACACTATAACAGATCTATATTAATATTATTATATACGAGCTTGGGGAGCATTTTCGACGCCACACATTCTATGAGCTGTTAAGAAAGCCGTGAAAATCTGGTTTTTCGCTTGTTTCGGAAAACACTGCCAATTGGTTATGTCAAAAAAAAGTTTATGATTTTTGGCACAGCTTAAACTCACTTTTTGTACAAAATAAATATGGTTTCAAGTATTTTTTGAAATGAATCACACTATCTAGCAGGTTGCTGAGACCAGTGCCGATTCATTGTTGCACCTGGAACACAAATACTTTTAATGCTAACAGCAACACACAAACGGCGGGGGTAAACTAAAATTCGGAAGGAAACAATTGTCTGGAAGGACGCTGGTAGGCAGCGTGGTAGAATCATGATGTTACGCCGGTATGCTTAGACAGCTTGATTTGATGCTGGCAATTGCCACCGCCAGGGCCGAAAGGGTGAAGGGGGGAAGAGCTGCTGTGAACTCCATTTTGTGATTCATGTGCCCTGGACGCGAGTCCATTCTGGCTAGGGGGAAGGCCTTGATATTTCTTCTGCAATGAGCCTACTTCGACTTTTGGGATGCTAGATTTGCATTGAATGTAGTTTCGCTGTACAATAACCTGCGGGGGGCAACCAATGTATAATTCACTGTTTTTCTCATTCCCGACGAGCCCTGTATCAATATTAGGCATAAAAGGCTTGATTAGTTAGAGCGAGATTCGTTCCCTGGACCAATGCGTGGGCTAAGTGGTGTAGCTGAATTCATCACCTCCGTCATGCTTGGCAGGTACTTTGGCGTTGTCTCAAGTTGCTCTGACTTGAACTATTTTCGGTCAATTATGAATGATCTGAGGTTTTTTTCTGATTGCTGTACTGCCCAGTAATCTTTGCAAAGGAACCTGGCTGGCGGTAGCTCCTTTTAAAAACTTCCAACATTCTTCTCTAGTTGCATGGCTGATATAAAAAAAAGGTGTCGAGCAATAGCAGAAGGTGGCATCGCAGGGAAGTGAAGTCTGTGATGGCGGTCTCTGATTTCCCGGTGTTTACGGTTTCTCATTGAATTTCGTGACTAGAGGCAATTAAGTCCATTTCACACTATTGGCAAATATTCCTTCTTCTTCATTGCTTGCCTTGAAATCAAAATATATGTGATGTTAGGCGCAGTCCGTACACAGTACAAACGCAGTACGTGGACTACTCGACTGGCACACCTCGTTCGAGTCGTATGCAACCGACGCAGTCACAATCACAAACGCAGTCACCAATGATGTCGTCGCAAGTGACAACCGCCATGCGAACGCCATCTGGAACGCCATCCCAAGCAGGGCTATCGCAAATTGCCGCGATTTCCCGTATGCAGCAGAAAGCGGCACTTCGAAGGGATTCACCAGATCGAGTTAGCCTGAGCAAACGACACATGCAAGATGGACAGGTTGGTGCGCAGAAGTCCTGCGACTATTAGATATTTTATCTTTTGAAGTGGCTTCATCCCACGGAGGTGAGTAGCGTGATAAGGATGAAGGATAAAGCATTTGCCGTTGATCAATCCCTTTTTGGGATGCGGCACGCATTCTACTTCCATTTGTACATTCGTAGTGGCGTTTGAATGCGATGTGGCCTATACAATGACTTGCGGGGGCCAGCCGATGTACAAGTCAGTGTTTTTATCCTCCCAGACAAGTCTGGTACCAATTAACCGACCCCGGAGGGATGGAAGGCTTGGTTGGCCCGGGCGACTCACGACTAGGATTCGATCCCTCGAAAACAGGGAGTGGGATGTGGGCCACTTGCGACTACAACATTGCTTGGCTGCGTGTTCATAATGTTGAGTAGAATGGCGAGATTCGTGTGGCGCTAAGGAAAAATAAAAAAACCCTTAGAACACTAATTGGTGCCCGAATTTGTTGTGATTTGGAACTACGTTCCACTACAGTGCTCGTTTTGCATTGGCGGTACGGGATTACGGTGGAACCATATCAACGGCATACTGATGAAATGCGTTCTTAGTCTGCACCGCACTCTCTGGGATCGAATCGCGCGCTAGTGAGTGCAATGGTTTGTCGTCCACTCAACACAGCATGCTTCCTCAATTTGATGGTGATTGACGCCAATGAGAGATATATTTGGCGCGAGAATACTAGGACTGATTTAACGGATCCGAGCAAATACAGTTGGGATAGCGAAAGCGCACGAACGATTCGGAGCTGGGAAGAATGCGTGCTCATCTCAGAAGAATGATTGATGCTTACTGTACCTGCTACAGCAACATCGAGGTTTTCAATTCTGATTCTTTCTCGTTTTTTTTTTTTTTTTTTTTTTTTTTTTTTTTTTTTTTTTTTTTTTTTTTTTTTTTTTTTTTTTTTTTTTTTTTTTTTTTTTTTTTTTTTTTTTTTTTTTTTTTTTTTTTTTTTTTTTAGTAATTTTACCAACTAAGGTCGTGGTCGGCTTCCCAGTTAATCTCAGCTGGGGATTATAGCGCATGTTAATCTTTAGAAGTGTACCCCAAGCTGACCAATAGCCGAATCACTTTTGAATAAAAGCACCTTCCGCATTGGTAGGTTTTTCCTCCTGACCACTTTAAAAGATGAGGCTCATCTATGGAAGGGCGTTGTGGTCGAATGACTCTGCTCATATGGTCAACCCATAAGGGGACTTTATTTCAGTTATTTTAGAAGGAATTCTTTGAAATTGAGCAGCTAAGCAGCAATGCGTGTTCCTCTCTATCCTACCACTCAATGGAATTGGATTGCTCCTTCTCCATTAGCGTCCACGTTTCTATTCTAGGAATACATATGAACATTAAAGCCAAACTGTATGCCACATAGGCGGATGCCGCAGTCGATTGATTTTCAAAGTGCATGAAAATACAGATTTCGAAATCCAGTAACGTGGAATGGTGTCCTAGTGTTTTTGATTTGGGGGAAAATTGGCAGTGTTAGCCCAGCTATAATATTTACTTTGGTGTGGCTTTTTGCTTCCACTTTTTGGGATATCATTTAAAGCAGCGTGCAGGAATGGCTATGCCCAATACTGACGGTGCTGATCACTGTGGCTGCAACAGGTAATACTACTGCTACTCATGTTTATTTAGGAGTTTCAATAATTCCCATGGGTGTCTTGGTCGAGTCTTGGTTTTTTAACCCTTGCTGTACGTGACATATAAGGAACTTCTTCTACCAGGGATATGGCCGGTGGCTAACCGGCTTAGTAATAGTTTTGATGGCTTAATTATATGATTGATTTGGTGATTTTTTCACAAAGTTATAAGGATTTTGTCTGAACCAGGTAAGATATTAAGCTACCCCGTGCCTAATCTATGGCGCGTTTCAACTTGTGTGAGCTATTAAGAATGGAAGTAGACGCTACTCGACTCGAGGCAAACATGCAGCACTTTGTAGGCTCGTTGGTTGAAATAGGATTGCTGTTTTGAATAATTATACTTCAAAATTGAGCACAGTATTAATTTACAAATATTGCATAGGTCAGATGATACACTTTATGACTTTCTCGTTTCTCTAGCGCATGCCAAATGGCATCAATTAACGCCTTATCCTTCTACCCTTTGACTCCAGGTGGTCCACATATGGTACACTGGCAGTGGTAATGTGCACGCGCTGTGAGTAAGGGTAGAGGGGACAGAGAGAATATAACGTTGGGTCGCACCCACACATATGTTCGGTGGGTTCACCAGTTTCCTGGCTCGCAACTGGCCTGGACCTTTTCGTTTCTCATGGTCGGCTAGTTGATAATATTCCTGTTTGGAATGTTAAAAACACTAATTTCCTACCTTAAAATGTCTCTGCAAGGCCTACACGTGGTCTTGCAGCGGCAAAAGGTGAATTTCGGTTCTTTTGCACCAAAAACCAACGCCCACATTTGCACGGTCGTATAGCATGCGTTTTCCAGAGCTAAAAGGTTTCTGGACGCTTAAAGCAACAGTTCAGGAACGGTTTCGCGGGAAAAAACCACCAATAATGAAGTTGTAGATGAAAACCAGACGATTAATGTATGAAAAACTGGAAAAAAACGTCGGGGAGGGTCTTAGACAGGTACTCTCCCTCTGCCGCTCAGCAATGGATAAAGACGCACGTTGGACGAGTTGTCTGAACGTGCCCGCTGTAAACGCGCTCCATTTTTCAATCAATTTTCCCTGTGGTCCCAAAACGAGCACGATTGCCGACGCGTCCAATGACGGCCGGCAAGGGGGCGGGATTGGGGAAATCCCCAAGAACACCCATGTTTGAGGGACTTTCCACCCTGTTTTTGAGTTTCTGAGGTAAGTTCGTTTATTATTTCCACTGCATATGTTCTTCACTAGGGCTCGTGTATCCCTCAGTAGTAGTGGCATTGAAATTTTCGGACCCTCCCTGAACTGTTGCTTTAAGGCCGTATAACTTCGTATAGCATACATTATCTTTCATTAGCGCATAACACGACGCAGAAATTTTATTACGGCACTTATAAAAAAAAAGTTACTAACGCTGACTCACCACACTATTTGTCTATGGACGACGGTTAGTCGGAAGAACTCAAGTTCGTCCTTTCTTTACGGATCTCTCGTAAACCCGATTCGATGTGTTATAAACGTAACGGTTGACACAGCCATAAAAGGCAAAGTAAAGATTCTTTTTACCTTTGCATTATCGAGACATTAACCTGGAATCCTCTATTCTTTTCAGCCGCGAACCGTATGGTCACCTCAGTAAATTTGACACCAAAGGCGGTGTCCACGTCGAATATGCAGTCGATTGCGCCATCAGGAGCTGCAGCAAGTGCGATCACACGACGACGTGAGTGACTTTCCTTTGGCTTACATTTTCTATAAAGTTCAGTATCACCGGGTCCATGATGGCACAGCACCTAAATTGTCGTCTAATTGTTAAATGCATTTGAAAGTTCGTAAGATGCACTTTTCGTAGTCTTGTAGACAATTACACAGTGTTAATGGATGTTGAGCAACAATGCACAGTACAACTACAGCACCTACAGTACCCCAGGTGTACAGTATCTAATCTAAGCGATACTTCCAGTAATGAGGAACATCACTTTCTGAGTCAGGCTTTTGGCTAGCCCCCTACTTTTACGCAGTGGTAATGGATGTTGAGCAACAATGCACAGTACAACTACAGCACCTACAGTACCATAGGTGTACGGTATCTAATCTAAGCGATACTTCCAGTAATGAGGAACATCACTTTCTGAGTCAGGCTTTTGCTAGCCCCCTACTTTTCTTCCCCAAACCACTTCCGTAGGCGCTCACTTCCGGTTGGGTAGCAGGAGTAGCCGCGGGGTATTGTGTTTTCTTTTTCATCAATTGTCCATGGTGTCTTTCCGTCTCTTACGCGCATTTGTCTTTCTCTGTTTTCAATTTCGTAGGGTCGGGGGGGGGCAATGAAATGGTCCTTAAATATTCAATGATCCGTCCACGTTTCTTCGACGGTAGACGGTTTCTTTACAAGTGAACTGGTTTGACCAGACAGGTGAAACATAAAAGGTATATAGAATCGCAGGTGCGGTGGGCCCCATTAATTATTACAGATCACTTATTATTTAAAAGCAGCCAGTGTTTGAATATTTGATCAGGCTCCAGCCAGTCTGTGGGAATTAGGCGCTACGGTAACTACCATTGTTCATTTATTACCATGCTTTCCGCGTAAAAGAGCATGAGTCAGTAGAGCAGTTGAGCACGGACTGTAGCTCATGGAGACTGCGCGTAAGCGATCGTTTTTTCTCCAATCCTACTGACTGCTGCATTTTCCTTTGATCGGCCAAACAAATCAGTTACCAACCGTTCCATTCATACTAGTTGAGGTACCGCCTAATTTTCGATAGATAAGCTTGCGCCGATTTCACAGGACGTACCTCCTGCTAGTGCGCTGGTAATTTCGTAGAGCTGAGCAGACAAATACGCGAAATTGACTATATTAAGGTAATTCGATGGCCTTGATTACAACCACAATGAAAACTTTCATTTTCAGCGGTTGGCGCCATCTGGCGCCAGTTGGCGCCACCTTGTCACGACCCTTGTTTTCGTCAAAATCGGTGTAAACTTCAGTATAGGGGTTATTTGGGACCCTGATTACGAATATGACATTCATTCTCGGCGCTGGCGCTATTTTGACGCCTATTTTCTGCTCGTCTGCGCTCTCCCAACCGAGAAATATGCGTTGAACAACGTTAATGCCAAAAACGAATCATATTCGTAATCAGGGCACCAAATAACTCCCTAATCCAGAAGTTTACGCTGATTTTAGTGAAAGCAGGGGTTCTGACAAGGTGACGCCAACTGGCGCCAGATGGACCACCGCTAAAATGAATGTCGCTTTCGTAATCAGCATATCGAATAACCTCTATGGGCAATTTGCGGTTGCCTCTAGACTACCGTAATTGGCTCCAGCGGAGGTGTTTCTACGTGATGTCGGCGCGGCTTATCTACCGAAATTTAGGGAAATTTTAACGTGGAGGAGAATCCTGTCCACGGAACATGACTTTAGTCTCAAAATTATCTCCTCTGAGTAAATCTTGCCTCAGCGATAGTTTGGCCCTTCTGAGATGATAGAGGGGATACGAGAAAAGCTTTCAGGGCGTGACAGACATGGCACATTTTTCTGACCTTGCCTTGTATTGCCAAAGATTTTTCTCCTTTAGATTTCTCTTCTAAATTGTTATATTTTCTATTAGAACCTTTGCAAACTGCTACTTCACATAATGTTCAAGAACGTTGTAACTGTCTTGTTCTACTAACACCAAGTCTTCTAACTTGTATGTATTTTTTTGCGAGTCGCTGATGCACTGAGTGAAGGTCACCAGCTTCTCCGCCTTCGCCGGTTCGGTGCGGGCGATGCCACTGCACCGGCGGCACGGGTTTTGCGACAATGTAAGCGCGTACTGACGCGCACACCCACGCATTAATATTGTCTTTGCCGCCTGTGGTTCACTTACTCTAACAAGAAGTCTAATCTCACCCTCACGGAGAAATGCTTGAAATAACGTGTGATAGCGAATAATTTGGCTTTGCTTAGTTTTAGAATCAGAGAAGTTTTACGTGCGATTTGCGACAAGGAAAGAAGAACTTGAAGCCGGTCGAGGTTCTCGTCGTCAATATTTATCGCTACCGCGACGCCAAGTGGTAGCTGAAGGTGCTTGAAATGCTTAATCCCTTCCCCGAAGCTTTGCTTTTATGTTTGCTGATGGTCACATGGTTTCGAACATTTTATACAAACTTCAAGGCAGCGTTTATAGACTGCGATTCGTAGGCCCGATTGCGAGTGATCTGCTTCCGCGATTCACGCATGCGAATCGTCACCCATGAGCGCTGCCTAAGTGAATGATTGCGGTGTATTTAATGGATACCTTACTCACTTTTCCCTGTACCGAGGTGTGCATTAGATTTGGATAATAGGCACTCAAGGTGGGGGGGTTAGTTTCGGCCACTTGTCGACGAGGTGTGGAAGAAATCCGTATTTGCTGAACGTAAAATATCAAGGCGGCGAAGTTATACGATTTCAGAGGCAGCTTCTGGCGGCTCAACCGCTTTCTTTCCTCTACCAATAGTTCTGCATGTCGTTCTTGGTTTATCTTTATGTTAGGGGTGTGTCTGACTCAAAAGATCTTCGATGGTGATACGTGAGAGTATTGGCCGTCGGCGCTCAGATCGGCTGTCATTGGTCCGTATTTAATTTTGTTCCATTTTGCCCTTAAAGCCACTCTGGTAAAGCATTTTGTCCAAAACGTGGTATGTATTAAATATTTGTGTGAGCGAAAGTTGGAAAGAGTTCGAAAGAGGGTGAAAGGTTTAATCTAACTTTTGTTTACCTACTGTTTAATGTCAAGAATGCATGTCCATGTAGCTTCTTTTCAATCTGAATTTAAATAAGCACTATGACGCTGCCCTGAACTATTACAGAAAATCTTCTGTACGGGTTTTTTTGAGACTCATTGTGATGAAGTATGCTATACCAGATTAGTCCCCCGTCAACCGCCGGGACCTTCCTTTCCTGCGCAAGCTTTCTATCCTCCGCTATGGTCCCTTCCTCCTGTGACACCAACACCTCCTGGAAGTGACGCGTATGCAACACAATGGTGTTTCATACAGTAGAAGGGACACAATCATGATATGACGGTAGATTTTTCGCTTCCCTTCCTCATCCTCCCTTCCTCTCTCCACTGCCCTCCAGCTGCCACTGCAGCACCATGTGGAATGAACGGAAGTGTGCTAAGCAGGTGTTTATATAGCCCTAAGAGTGTTATCACAACTATCCTGCTACAAAACATTGATATCTCAAATCCTGTAAGCTACCCGATTTGTTAGCGGTTTGTTTATCCCATGAGCTTCCTTCTCACTCACTTCATTTTGCGGACGGACACACATACATACACACACACACACGCACACACACACACACACACATACAGATACACAAACCGACACACAAAGTTAGCGCTTTATAAAATAGAAGGATAATCTTAATAACAAATCATACGTAGTCGTGTCACTGGAAGT